TTACCGTCAATCGGTATAATTCAGGTACTCGCTACAATGCCTAGGTAATGTATAAAATACCTGGGGTGTCTAGGCAATATATGAAATATTATGAAGATTATTGTCCCTTAGATACTTTACCTAGGTAATTTACAATTCTTAGGGATACTTGGAGTACCTGTTGGCCGATAGGTAATGTGTAAAATAAATAGATTTTGGTCTGTAGGTATATATCAATTTTTACTTATGAGTAAAAATAGAAAGTTTATTATGATAAACAATTAATAAACACTTATGATATTGTGACATTTTGATTTTTACCCACATTGCCAGCAATGTGCAATCGGCATTTTATAGAATACCTAGGCAAAGTATAAAATTAATAATATTTCATATATTACTTAAACGTTTTAGGTATTCTATAAATTGCCTAGGTATTGTATAGAATACCGGATTATACAGATTGCCGGTAACATATACACACAGTAGTTATTTCACACATATACAGGATGTCCCGAAACTCAACCTCAAGCGGGCATCGGGTGAGAGGCCAACCCATAATTGTTCTGGTAAACATAATAAAAAAACTCCATGTCTCTTAGTTAAATGGTAATAGACATATTTTTGAAAACGTCAAAAATCATTCCCGTACATCATATCTTTAGATACTACGGTCTGAAATGCTCGCAATTTAATAGTGATTTTTTTAATAATATATTCCTTGTGAACCATGCTACTATAGAAATCACAAATCAAACAACAAAAGTCGTTAGTTTTGCAAAAAAAAACTATTAGTTTGATCCAGTTAAGGTTAAAAGAATGTTTATCTATTAAGTTTGACACACGATTTCTAAAGAAAGGAGTAGTACAACACCCTTGGCAAGTTATTTTAAAAGATGGCCTGTTAAGTCAAGTTTCCAAAATGGTACAACACTTGCCATTTTTCTTTTCATAAAAAATATTACAATTCCTTACAATTATTTTAAAAATATTATGTACGGGAACGATTTTTAACAATTTCAAAAATATGTCTATTACCACTTAACTAAGAGACATAGAATTTTTTTCTTCTTTTTACCAGAACAGGTATGCGTTGGCCTCTCACCCGGTGCCCGCTTGACGTTGAGTTTCGGGACACCTGTTTGTGTAAAATAAAGATTGTTTCATAAATTTACTGGTTTACCCGAGCGGTAAGGTGGTTTAACCCCTTAACTCAAGAATAAGGAATCCTTCTTTTTAGAAAAATTTATTCATGCAACAACAATCTTGTATAATTCTTCATTTGAGTATTATACATTATCACTGCATGCTTCAGTTTGTAAGATATCTATTACTTAAGTACATTTATTTGATATTTATATTATATTTTCAGAATTAATATTCATTTAAACACAATAATTAGTTTCCGAATATGAATTCATTAAAGAAATAACAGTAGGATTTCTCAAATATTTCAACAAATAATCCTTAAGAAGTTATTCGCAGTGGTTTATAATATTTCATTTGTCGAATATAAACAGTGAAAGGACTTCAATTCAGATTGTACGAACTTTATTATAATACATTATATAGATGAGGCCCAAGCTAATTCTAAGATATGTACTTTACTATACTTTATGTAACTTTAATAGAACATCAAACACATCATATCTATCGTATTTGAAAACAACGATTTAATTTGAGCCCACAGTTTCGCTTTGTTGAGGATGATTTTGGGATGATTATCCATTATAATAAAATATTTTTTAATTGCTTGCTTTTCAACCTTAGTTTTAAAGTTGTAACCGTTAATTGTCGTATGTTAACCACACTCTTTAATCTTTGTATCAAGCAACAAACTAAAGTTTCCTAAATATTCGTTTATTCAACCATCAAGTAAAATATGACACTTTTCTCTTTAGTTTGGTCATTTTGAGTTTGCTTTTCTATGGTTTCCAGTAATCCAATAACAAATCTAAGTCGTTTTAGTATATACATGTTTCATTCAGATATACGACCATATTATAACCAAATCTGAGTTTACATATTGTTGATCTTTTTTTCACATAAAAGTTTGTTATTTGGTATAAGAAGTCCAATCTTATATCGATAACTCATGAACTTTAAAATTTTGGAGTTACTCAACCTTGAATAAAATCTAAATCTTGTATAGCATAATGAAATATATCATTTATTGTAAAATAGTCTTTTCTACTGGTGGAACGGATATACGGCAACTATCCGGCTTTGGCCACCATTCACAGGAATTAGTATCTCTTTTAAGTGTTGAACACTGCAGATAATAATCAAGTTCAACCCCAATAGGACTTATTTCATTGAATACAACTTTATTTATATCAGGTTTGTCATTAGCAACCTCATTGTAATAATCCCAATACGATATATAAAATCTCTTGTTGCAGTTTCGTCTAGTTTTCTTCTCTTCGCTTGTAATTCATTACTAACAGAACTGTCGCTGTTATCACTTTCGATTATTAATTAAAGTATCCTCTTTTTAATGCATAAAGCCGTTTTGAAAAATCTCGTTTAGTTCTTGAGAAATAAATTTTTGAAATAATCGACAATTTTTTCGAATTTTTCAATTTTCGCCGATTAAGTTTTAAAAATTCGTATAAAATCCAGTTCTTGAAATATGAGTATAAAAATTTCCCAAAGTGTTAATAAAAGTGTCCTCTTTCCAACGAACCAACCCGTTTTGAAAAATAACTTTTAGTTTTTGAGAAAACAATATTTGAAGTTTTGATAAAATTTTCGATGTTGCAATTTTCATCGATAATTTTCAAAATTCGCTATAAAATTAATTTCTTGAAGGATCCTTGTGGAAATATCACCAATTATTAATTAAAGTATCCTCTTTTTAATGCAAAAAGCCGTTTTGAAAAATCACTTTTAGTTCTTGAGAAATAAATTTTTGAAATGATCGACAATTTTTTCGAATTTTGCAATTTTCGCCGATTAAGTTTTAAAAATTCGTATAAAATCCATTTCTTGGAATATGAGTATAAAAATTTCCCAAAGTGTTAATAAGAGTGTCCTCTTTCCAATGAACCAACACGTTTTGAACAATAACTTTTAGTTTTTGAGAAAACAATATTTGAAGTTTTGATAAAATTTTCGATGTTTCGATTTTCAAAATTCGCTATAAAATTAATTTCTTGAAGGATGCTTGTGGAAATTTCACCAATTATTAATTAAAGTATCCTCTTTTTAGAGTTGCTTCGTTAGTTAAATCAGCATAAAAAAAGTTTATTTTGTATCTTAGATCCAAATAAGGTGACATATCATATCAGCTTTCTTATTAATTTCATTTTTATTCAAATATCGCAATAATGTGGCAATGTAGTGTGTCTTTTCATTCGTAATAACAATGTAGTTTTCGTTGTAATTCAGGAAATACATATAATAATTATTTTTACATATGTTTGAATATCGACTAAAACAAGTGGATGATCTTCCTACTTCGATTCAATCGAATTCCTTGAGCTGTTAAATTATAAGCAGCGGGAAAAGGTAAGGTTTACAGTTTAGAATCCTTGATAATCAAAAACCTAAGTTACCAACAGACCTTATATTCTAAGTAACAATAGCTGTGAGTAAAATAAAACCACAAATGGAATTTGTACATTTCATTTTTATTATTTATTATTATTTATTTAAATTTGGCACAGAAAAAACAGTGAGCCTATGAATAGTAGTACAATATTTTCTATTTATTTTAGTTTTTTTTTTATTTAATGTATCCAGAGATTGGGATAAACCGCTATATTTAATAATATGATGACTGGATATACGTAGTTAACGATTAATTATCAAACAAAAAATCGTTTCCTTGAAAAGATTTTCGCGTTCATTTTCTTCTCCTTTAATTTACAATGAGAGTGGTATCGTTTAGTTTAATAATATTTGTTTTAATTATAAACATTCACTAGCCCTATGCTTTGCGCATTCTGGAATTGTTTTCTTACACTTTGAAGCTTCTTCGAATAGTCTATTGTTAAATTTTGGTATTTATGATATGTTACTCTCAAAAAAAAATTATTTCGTTTTTTCTATTGAATTTAGCAATCCAGCGTTTTTGTTTTATTAATAAACGTTACTTTTACGTGTAATATTTACATTCTGTTTTTTTTTGTTCTATTGAGTATAAATACAAAGTTATGTGTAATGTTATTGAAATTTAAAACATATACAAGTTCTAAATGGCTAAATAAGTACGATATTTTTGTTGTTGTTTGTATAATATGTTCAACAAGAGGATCGCTTTATGTACAAGTACATTTTGGGTGTAAATTTAATAAACGAATAATAATTAAAAAAAAAGAAAATAAATTAATTACTTAGAGTACTGGCTCTTATATTAAATATATATAAACTTTAACAGTTTTGAGAACAATTATAGTTAAAGATCATTGCACATTTTGTCTCTAATACAGGTGGTTTTAAATTAAGGATACAAATACGTTTTTAGATGATACTTTTTAAATTAGATAAACAAGATTACGAAATATTCGTGGATTATTAAAAAGTAATTGACTTTTAACGAAAAAATCAAAGTGTATGAAGTATTTGTACCTATAATTCAAACATCCTGTATAATAAAAAAAAGAAAAAAATAGAACAAAAAACTGGTGTATTTGTACGTTTAACAAAAAACTAGTATAAAATAATGTTGCAATGAAAAATAAGAAGAAAAAAGTAGGTGATATAAAACTGTACATTTCTTTTTCTTTTTTAAATATAATATTAATTAAATAAACAAATAATTTGTTTTAAAAACTAGAAATTAAGAATAAATAACTCATAGTATCTACAAAAAAAGAAATGAAAAAAGAAACAGTACCTCTAACTACAACACCAATTCTTATTATTTATACGGATATTTATAAGTAGTTTTTGTTTTTTTTTAATCTGGCAAGTTTGAAAAGGGGAGATCAAACCGTTCTTTTTTATTTTTTTGAAATAAAAAATAATAAAATACAACATCATCCGTTCTTTGCGAACAAAAACGAAAAAACTTCGGGATAAAAATGGCACAACAAAATTATTTCTTCTCTTCACCCTATTTATTAATAATTATTTAATAATTATTAATAACTCATCATCAATCGTGAAAAAAGCATTTCTATCATTTTTCCTTCCCGATTCCCGAACATGAGGTATAAATAAATAAATACTCGTCTTCTCGTTATTTAAAAAAATAAATAAAACAGCCGATTCCGGATCTGTTTTATTTATTTATAAATTTTTTTGTTAATTTTCGAAAATCGAAAAAATCACTATTTTTAATACCAGGGGAAATTATTATCCCTGGTAGCCCATGCTCAGTCATCCTCTCTTCTTGGACTAGAATCATACGTGGACGATTGTTCTTGATTAAAACCTAACGATTCCGGTGAAACATTATCCTGTGGATAGTAATATCCTTCCGAACTAGGTCCGGCGCCGTTCAAAATCCCCATCGTCGGTGAAACTGTTGGTCTCCCCGTTGAAGACGTCGTCGGTGACGTCATGTCCGAGCTAGAAGACAAGAAATTCATATCACTTGGACCGTCCCTACACCACAATTGTCGCATTTCTTGCCTTCTTTGTCTCATTAACATCTTGTATTCGGAAATCCTCATCTTTTTCCCATCAACTATACAGGTACGTTTCGGTCTGGGTCTGTAACGGTAATCTGGATGCTTTTCCATATGGAGTTTCGATAATCTTGATTGTTCTTCGTAATAGGGTTGCTTTTCTGCATTTGACATCGCCTTCCAACGAGCACCTAATATCTTTGAAATATTTGAATTGTGCATATCAGGACACGCCTTTAATATTTTTCGCCTCTCGTCTTTTGCCCATACCATAAAGGCGTTCATTGGTCTTTTTATATGGGGTTTATTTTCTGTATCGCGCTTTGGTGGTTGTCTTATTATTTTGGCTTTATCTTGACTGTCATCGGGAAGTTTATAATCTGTTGCTGACCATACTGGAACAGAAAAAAAATTAAAATTAATAATTTGAAAATATTATTCACGTTTTTGAACTATGAAGATAGTTTAAAAATAAATAAATATATTCAGTAAATTCAAGAATCAGTGGTTTTCTAAAGAAATGAGTAATAACAAAAACATATTTTTTTCATATTTCCTGTTTTAGATAATATGATAGGGAAGATGATGTAATTCAAACTAAACTAATCAGAAAATTTGCTTCAAGAATTCAAGGATAACTGATGCTTTAAAGAAATAAGAATGGCACAAATATTTTTTTTATTTATACTTATTATTTTAGAAATAATACAGTTCATAAATCAAGTTGAAATTTGTAATAAGTTGCTGCTTTTATTACCATATCAAGCCAAAATTTAACTACACATATTGCAACAAAGGTTAATCAGGCAAAATCTTACATTGTCAGGCCTACATATGTCTCTTTTTATATTTGCTGGTTTAGATATTCCAAAGACGACGATGGAATTTAAACTAAATTAATCAGAATTTTTGCAAAACTTAAAAATTGCAAGAATTCAAGGAAAGCTGGTGTTCTAAAAAAATAAGAATGGCAATAATAATGACTTGTTATTTTAGAAATGAAGAGCAAAATGACTCAGCTCAAACTAGATGGATCATAAATTCTGCTCAAACGGAAATTTGGGAAAATTTAAGAAGAAGCGGTTTTTCAAAGAAATCACAAAACTATATTTTTTCATATTTGCTGTTTCAGTTATTATAAGGAATACGATACAGTTCAAACTAAATTGATTAGAAGTTCTGTTCAACTCAAAAATTGCAGGAATTCAAGGAAAATTGATGATCTAAAGATGTAGAAAATGGCAGAAGTATTTTTGCTTCATACTTTGTAATTTAGAGATGATAGAGGAATATGATACACTTGAAACAATATTCACCATAAATTCTGCTGAAACAGAATTTGCAAAAATTTAACAAAAAGTAGTTTTCCAAAGAAATAAGAAATTATAAAAATACATTCTTTCATATTTGCTGTTGTTGATATAAAAAGTTTTCATTAAAAACTAAATTAATTAGAAATCTTGCTCAAGTGCTAGATAGCAGATAGCATTCATGGAAAACTGGCATTCTAAAGAAATGAAAAATGGCAAAAGTATCTTTCTTCATACTCGCTATATTAGAAATAACGAGGACAACTAAAATCTTAGTAGTATATCTTAAATTGAAGGTCAAGCATTCTAGTTTATGATAAGATATGGAATTGTTTGGGTGTGATTCTAAGAACTGCGAGATATGACATTAAAAAATTGGAAACTTAGCTTTTGAGATAACTTCTAAAGACAATTCAAAATTTAAAAAGATTCTGCGATCTTTACACAATTAAAGAATAGTAAATTACAGATCAAATGTTCTAGTTTATGGTAAGATATGGAATTATTAGGTATTGTAAGAATTGTGAGATATAGTATCATTAAAAATAATTTAAGAATGGGAGTTTAGCTGATTTTGTTAAGAAAACTGATCATTTCAAAAGATCTTCTCTTCTTTATTTTTAAAGGTAGTACATGTATTATATCTCAAATTAAAGCTTCACCATTCTAGCTTGTGATATGATACTGAATTAATAGCGTTTGGTTGTCAAAATTACGAGATATGGTACCATTATAAAGAATTGGAAAATGCGATTTTGTGAGATGTTGTCAAGATAATTAAAAATTTCAAAAAATGTTCCCATCTACATTTTTAAAGGTTAGATCAAGTATTATATCTTAAATTGAAGGTCAAACTTTGTAGTTTATGATAAGATATAGAATTATTAGGGTTTCATTGTAAGAATCGTGAGATATAACATCATTAAAAAGAATTAGAAAATGGAATTTTAACAATCTTGTTATGAAATCTAAAAATTTCAAAAAATCTTCCCTTCCTTATTTTTAGTGGTTGAAACACGTATTATATCTGAAATTAAAGCCCAGACATTCTAATTTATGATATGGTATTGAATTAATAGCGTTTGATTGGAAGAATTAGGAATTGACAAATCTCATTAAATAAGCCCCCAGCAAGTGCTTATCAGAAAAATTAACTGTAAATTAACTGTAAAGGTATAAAGGAACTTTGAAGACTCATTCACAAAAATTGTAACGTTTTATTACACATTGAGAATCATAGTCGAGATAATAAAAGTTTATTCATCTAGAAGATCAATATAGATAGATCAAATTGTTAGATCAAACTTATATATCCTCAAATATGACTTTTAATCCTTATAATTAAATAATAAATTATATATATCTCTAATTTTCTTACCATTATGATAAAAGAAATCAGATTCATCCTTAATACTTTCCTCCCTTTTTACACCACCTTGATGCGGTGGAGTTGGATGCATCGGATACATTAATTGCGGAAATTGTGGTGGTTGTTTACCTTCCATACCATCTTTAGTTTTCAATCGATCACTAGGCGGTAATGGACTGAACTGTGGCGGTAAACCCCCGGGAAACGGCAAGAAAGGTCTCGGCATCATCATCGGCGGCAACAACTTAGGTACAGTAGCGGCTACGGGCTGCTCATTTTGACTTTGTTGACCCAACCCGATCGGAAGATTGTGCGGACTTGAACCCGCCGATTCCGAACCGGAAGATTTCGGTTTCGTCGTCAGGTTCAATGGGGCGTCCGGGTCTGAAGGAGGTGGTGGTGTTGGAGATCTTTCGCGGGTTGGGGAGTGCTTTTCTAACATTTGTGGCATATGGGGGGATGTTAACCAATTACTGAGTTGTGGTGGTGGAAGAAGCTATAACAATAACGATAGAAATTAATAAAAAATTAAAAAGAATTAATAATAAGTTATTTTCTTACATGATTTTGAAGGGGTGATTTTGGAACCGTATTAGGAAGCCCTGCATTCTGTTGTAATTCCCTTATATGACCCAAAATTGGTAGGAGCATAAAATTTGGAGTTCCCATCACTCCATATTGAGCTGTTAATTGCCCTTGGAGTTCTTGGAGTTTTTGTTGCTGCTGGAGAATTTGTTCTTGATGGCGACGTTGTAATTCTTGTTCTTGTTGGTGTTGATGTTGTTGTTGTTGTTGTTGTTGATGCTGTTGATGATGGGTTTCATTTAAAACGGGTGGTGGTGGTGTTAATTGAGTCTGAAAGGAATTAATCAATATATTTAAGACGTTAAATTTAAAATAAATAATTTTAAATTTCGTCAAAAAGAGGTGGAGGTGGTGGTAATTGAGATTAAATTAAATTTTATAGATGAATATCTTAATGATTTAGGTTGTAAAATAAGATGGTACGGTAAAGACAACATCACGTCTTAAGATAAGTTTATTTCGTATCTTTTGAGGAGTTGATTTTATGCTCTATTCTTTTTCATGTCATTTAAATTTTTTTATGTTTTTGCTCCGGATGGAGGATTGTCCATCTGTTACATTCTCCGTTCTTCTCGTCTTCTAGTTTTAATCATCTCTTTGGAGCGGGCACGCGACCGCAGGTTGCCAAACCGCCTACTGTTGCCTAAATATAAGCAGGCAAAACGCCAAAAGTGCCTCTCTCCATTCACTCGATCTTTGCAGCACCACAACTCCAGAAGGTGCATATTTGAATAACTCTTAGGATTATAGATTATTATCGCGCATGATTACAGAAGATTATCTTATTTTATTTTCATAAACTGATTAAGAAATTTTAATTAGGATGAAATAAAGAATTATGTTTACTATTTTTGTTTCTTTTAGTGGATTTTAGTGTTAATTAAAATCTTGATACAAAATACTTAGATAAAAAAACAGATTGAGAAGTAAAATAAATTGGATAGAAATAAAATATCGATCGTCGGCGCCAGAGTATCGATGGGTGTGTCTGCAAAAAATCCCTCGAGATGGAAGAGGAATTCAAGTAGCCAATACGGTGTGGTGACTTCTCTTAGCGCAACATCTCGAGTAATTAACCCGCGCCGGAAGTGATAGATCATGCCGTAATAATGACCGAGTCGAGAATATCCAGGAGACACACGAGACTCTTGTTTCTCTTTACTTGTAACTAAAGATAATAACTCCTTCATCCACCATCCAACAACAAAAACAAGACTTTGATAAAAAGAACTTTTTTAAATTTCATGAAATTAAATGTTCTCTTTTCATAAATTTCGAAGAGATTGGTTGAACCCATTTAGCACGTTTTAATTTTAGTACCCAACAGGATATTATTACTGTCCTTACGAAAATACACCTTAACCTAGCTTAAGAAAAACCTGAATGAACGGACCGGATGTCGTCTCGTTTTGTATGGCGGTCGTTTCAGCCAACCCAATCTTTTCCCTCTCTCTCACTCCATCTTATTTTCTCTTTCTCTCTATCCTTTTCGCAATCCCTATCTTTCTTTCTTCCTCTTTCGGGTTTTCAACTCTTCGTGCAAGTTGAGAGGCTGAAATTCCTGAAATAGCGTCATGTCCCATCCGCCCGACCTATTCGTCTCTCTCGGCTCTTATTCATACACCACGGCGACGTCGTCGACGACGCTTATCCGAGAAGAAGAGGATGCCGCCGAGAGACAGTTTTACGTTTTAAAACAACAGCTACATATGAATCTACTTGGAATTTGAAATGGAAAAATTCCTAGGAGAATCTGATTTGATATTAAACGATTATGATGCGGGTTGTTAAAAGCTTGGTGAAGCCAACACCTCCACTTTTTTATATAAAAAAATATGGTTTATTTATTAAATTAAAGCATGTCAAAAAAACCTTTTTTAGTCTTAAAAGATATCCATATATGTGCTATCAACTATGTATACAAGATCCCGATTTGCCATACAAACCAAATCGTTTGCGATTTAATTAAAATTAATCGGCGAACGGGGTGAGGCATTCGATAAATACGAAGCGGCTGTAATTGGACTTCATTAAAATAGCGAAAAGCGGTTTTATCATTATGAATATATCGATATGCATCGTTATTTATTGTGCGACAATTACACAAAGTAAGTTATGTTACGAATAGTACGAAAACCAGATTGCCGTCAGCTTAATCAATATCTAAAGCCTTTAAACATTTAACATTATCGCTAACAAAAATTAATTGAAAAATAAATTCTACTATATGGATAAGAACAAAATAATCTTGGGTCGATGACAGCTGGTTGAAAAGAAAAAGCGGCTTGGTTGACTTGTTGGGTGTGATATGAAAGGAAATGGGTAATCCTAAATCCCGAAGGAACTGTCACGTTCCTTCCACCCAATCCCGACTGGTGTGTGACAAAACTGAAAGCGCCCAAAAAAAAGAATTGTTTGAATCACCTTTAAGAAACGTTTCAAAAAAATCTTTCTTATAGATTCGAATCGTAACAAATCGTTGAAAGATGTAAAGAACGTGAAGAAACGACGTTCGTCTCGCAAATGTCGTCGCCCCTTTCGTCTTCGTGTTTTGCCTTTTACCTACACTCGTGTATCCGCATCGAGTTGAAAAATAGTTTTAGTCGCGACGTAAAAATTCCACACTCAGAAGCGGCACCGCGTCTTCGCGATCTTTCCTCCTCGCGTCCAGAGAACAGATCGATCGAGCTTTCGTCCGACCCGATATTTATGTAACACGCCCGTGTCCGTTGTTCATTGCCGGGCATCGCTCACCACCAAGAACGAGATAAATCAGCAGCAACAGCAGCCCAGCTTTGCCGCAAGAAGAGAAAAGTTTCACAAACCGCACGCGTTTTCCCAGTTCATAAACCAACTTCTTCCACTTCTCCATCTACAACTTCTTCGTTTTCTACCCCTTCTTCGTCTTATTCGTCTATGTCTATTTCTTCTTCTGAAATGGTTTGGGAATTGGACGAAGAGAAACTAGATGTGAATGAGAGGAAAAGAAGAAGAAGAAGAAGCGAATCCTGGTTTATTAGATGAGCTTAGCTTAAGAAACGTGCCGCGTTTTCGTTTCCTTTTCTTCCTATTCCGTTTCTTCTTCTTGAAGGCGAAGAGGTATTCGTCGTGTTCTTCTTTTGCGCGTACACACGCGCGCGGACGTATGATCGTTCGAATTGATAAGAAGAAGAAGAAGAGGGGCCCGTTTACGCGTGTTGTATTTCTCGAGAGGTCTTTAAATAAGCTGTTTGATCGTGTTAGGCGTGACGAAGCAATGATATGTACTTTATACTTTATAAGCTTAAAGGAATTTTAAAGATAGTAAATAAAATATATCAAAAAGAGTCAATCTCTATGATAAATGAACCAAAAAATAATAAATAAAAATAGATTAACTGTTTAGGTGTAAATAAAAGAAACATCAAAGAGTGTTAGAAAGAAGAAAAAAGACCTTCGAGTAGAAGATTAAAGATGTATTCAAGCGTTTTATCTCTTTCACGTTAGATCCGTTGGGTTATTTTATAAATAGACAACGGTGAAAAATGCTGGCCACTGTTGTATTTTTATGTATTTCCGTAATTAAGGGACCCGATCTTGGATTAAAGAAGAAAAGAAAACGATCTAATTTATTAGAACGGCAAATAAATGCGCTCGCGGTCTTAATTAAGTGTCAAGATTTTACGTTAATCAACCGTAATTTTTCACGGAAAATCCTCAAGTTAACTTCTACGGAAACAAGAAAAAAATGGAAAACGGAATAAAAATAACGGAAAAATGTGGAGTCTACACCGACAAATAAAATCATTTAAATCAGCCATTCGTGTACACAAACAAGAACAATAACTCCCACCAACTGTATACAACCTCTAAAAATAACACTTTTACACCACCTTCGAGGATTACTATTGTTTTATGTTGTAAAATGGGAAACGAAACTTAAAACAAACCCGACTTTATGTGTTTAAAAGTTCGATTTACCGTCGAATTTACCAACGATTAATTAATCTCTTTTATTATCTTTTATAATAAACAACTTTAAATCACTTTCTTTAAGCAAAAAAAAATTTCCTAAAATTAACAAATCGAAAATGTAATTAAATCAAACATTTTTAAAATTCAAAAAATTCTCGTTTAAATTTCTCTATTAATAATGGAACGTGCCAAGGCCGAATAAATACATTTCTTTTAAGATACAACATTTGTATACCATCTGGTGTAATTTTTCATTTTTTTCTTGAACCCTTTATGAAAAAAAGTTTACGTGTCGTATCCGACATAGATTTAGACGTATGCCCGAGTGAAACGAATGACATGTCGCTGACATGTCGGAACGATTTAATAACAAAACGAACAATATTAGTTTTGCGTCCGTCGTGGCGTTAGAAGGCGTGTTGCATCTCGTGCGTATAACAAGAAGTGACAGTCGGAGTGAGATCAAGAAACCGTCAAGTCCCAATTGGGAATAGACCGTAATAATCTTTGCTATTTCCTCCTTACATCGAGATCTTTCCTCTGGGGATTTCTATATTGTGTCTGGTTAAGCAAAAAAGATAAAACTTTAACAATAATAATAATAAAAATAAAATACAAGACAAAAAATAATATAATAAAAGTAATTCCCATACAGATAAATTCTGCCGGTTAATAACGTTTATAAAAATATAGAGAGAAGGCTAAATCAAAAGGTAAAGCGGTTGATGCGCTCCATTATCATTCACATTACTTCAAACTGATTAACTGCTAAGGTGAGGTCATCTACAACCCCACTAATACTAAATGTTGCCGATATCTCAAGCTTGCGGATATCTATCGCATAAAGCACTTTGGTCGGTGCGTTGTTTGAGAGCAATTGCAAGAATATTTTGTATGGCATACTCGTATTTCTACTTCATGCGAGCTATTTGCTTGGTTTTGAGACGACTGTTATGAAATGCCTTAGTAATTTAAAACAAAACGCCTTTTATCAAGATTGATGCTAATGAACAAAGGAAATTCCTCATGGGACTTCATAAACTTCTTTCTTCCATTCAATAAAAAAATCCCATAAAAATGTAACTTCTGTGGATCCTAGCTATCGTGTATGGGTTAGATTTTTAATGCTCTAAAGGCTTTCGCAACGAAGAAATTGAAGCATTATTGGCAATCCTTCAAAATCTTCAGGAAATATTTGAAATTCATAAATTCTCACTAAAAATCTCAAGCAATACTTGAAAATCCTTTAAAACACTAAAAAGTACTTGGTAGCTCACTGGTAATTATTTTGAAACTCTTGGAATTACTCTGAAAAT